ATTCTCAGTGGGACTTCTGCTCGTCCATGGTCAGCTTTGCAATGACTGGTGGTATTCCTGCTTCTCGCCCTGTCCCTGCTGATCATGTCTGCTGTGTGACGTCAATGCTGCTTTTATGAATTGTGTACAGAAGGACTAATTCAATGAACTGTGTACAGACGCTGAGCTTGAAACTCCTGTATATTTTGTGAAATTAAAGACTTTTCTTAGGTTGTTTTTAACTTCTTTTGTGTATCCAGTCTTTCAGATGCCTGTTGCCATTTTTTCCACGGCAAATGATGGCTTTAGGTGGAGTATGAAGACTATTCTTTGTATTGACTTTTTGGTAGATGAAGCCTGTAGTAAAAGGGCTAGGGATCAAATCGAGGGTAACGCAGGTAACCATAACGCACTCTATATGTGCATTGAGTTGCAATTCTGTTTGTTTCCTCATTGCACAAATAAGATGTGCTGTAGCACTCCCCAAGCCATAGCCTGAGGTGTGAACTGTCCCTAAAGCTAGGGATGCACTGATACCGTTTTTTCGGTATCAAGTATGAGTAGCGATATTTATCTTTCAGTGCTCTCCAATGCCGGTACATCCGCTAGTATGGAGCGATGCATTTCAGTGCATTATGCTGGCAAATATACTATACAGTAAATAGGTTTCATAACAAGGGTGACAAATCTGCCAAATCTGTTGTAAATCTGGCACTAAGATCCACTACTACTTTACCTACAGGTTTCATCGGGTGCATTTGTTTCAGGGTTGATATTCTCAGTCGCACATGGATTTCATTTCCTATGAAGCCCTGGCCATAATCAACAGAGCAAAGTGCAGTAACCCATAGAAACCAGAGATCACTATGACAATGTTTCCTATAGAAAATGCTGCTCCGGCAATGAAGCACGGTACCTCTGATGTAAGTGTCACCTCTTTACATCCTAATGTCCAGGTTTAAGGAGATCTGAAAGTATCGGCATCCCACAAGGTATTCAGAATAAACATTGTGAATTAAAAATGCTTTATTTCAGATCCCACAATGGTTTGCACCACGTCACATGCAGCTGGGCTCCGGAGAAGTGGGCAAGGCATTGAGGAGGGAGTATTGAAAAACAAACTGTGTACTGGCTGCTTAGTCCAGTGCTTCTTCATGTGTGACTGCAATAGGGAAGATATTAGGAAGGCAGAATGAAATGTGGATACAATCATTCAGGAAGTGTTCATATGGTTCTCAGCATCTATTCAGAGGTATTTCTGGGGACTAAATGGACATAAGAATTTAAAGATCCAGGATGAAAGATGTTAAAATGGCATGCTGAAGCAAATATGAAACTTCTGTTTTATGACTTTAGTGACACTTTAACTCCAGCTGTGATTTGTGTATCTCTGCCTCCTGCTCTGAGGAATGGCCCCTTGTTTTTCTAGATGTCTGGTGCCTGCAAGTGATGAGGATCTGAATATACTCCATGCTTGCCCCTTGTCCCTGCCAAGCTCACAATCAACTAACCATTCCGCAGCACCCTTCAGTGCACCCTCTTGTGAGCCTATATGGACAGCTTGGAACGTTGTCCCATGCTTTAGTCCCTATATTCCTCAGATTCTTTCTTGGCTCCATCTGGTGTGGCCCCCTCTTTGGCTTTATCTGTGTGGATGGAGGAATCTCCCACTGGGCCAAGCTTCAGTATCTTGCTAGTCAGCCCCTCTGGCTGTCAAAATACCTGAACAATCTGATTGGATGCAGGCATTATTTAGGTGTTTTGAGAGCCAGCGGGGGCCGACTAGCAAGATACTGAAGCTTGGCCCAGGGGGAGGTTCCTCCATCCACACAGCTTAGCATAGATGGAGGCATGCGTTGCATTTTTTCCATCTGATCATAGAAAATCTATAGGCGTATGGCCAGCTTAAGTCTGTCAAACCCTAGAACAGGGGTATCCAAACTTTGACCCTCCAGCTGACGTGAAATGACATATTCCAGTATCCATGTGCCTCCGGAAGTCATGTCTGGCTGTCAGAATGTTGCAGTGCCTCGGGATTTGTAGTTTCACCACAGCTGGAAGGCTGAAGTTTGGCTACGCCTGCATTAGGTCAATGGACTCAACTCATGAAGAAGAATTTAGTTTCTATTCTCACAGATCTCCTGTTTGAAAGGTTAGAGCTCATGCCAACATCTCTACATTACAGTGTAGACACGCTCGCTTATATCTCCCGTCTAATTTCCCTAATGAGTCTCCAATCAGTGAATGCGTGGGGAACAATTTAGTTTAATGTTGGGGTGCAGAGCAGGCATGTAAAAAGCATCTACTGCACGTGTCATTTTGAGGGCAAGTGTCTCTTCTTGGCTGCATTGGACAACCTCATAAAGAATGCCACAGGTGGGAAGAGTACTTATCTACCCCAACATAAGAAGTCTCCAGTCTGCCTGTGTGTCTGTTCAGAATAGCAACCTCCATGCAGCTCTGGTAGACCTTACGGATTAGGGATTGACTGCCTCGACCGCCTGGGTTTTTTTTGTTTTTTTTTACTTCATCCTTTTCACAGTACTCGGATCTAAAGAAGACACTTGCTGCATGTTGGATTTGAAGGCCTTAGCACAGGGTCAGAAGTCAAACTGGGAGAACACAGATTTCAGGAACGGGATCAGACAATAACGCAGAGTAGTAGCTGAGGATCCCTAGCAATTGCAGGGCCCTTCCTAAATAGCCCGTTTGGTGCCACGGCCTGGAAGGACGTCTGTATGCAACGCTTTGCGCACAAGGATGCACCTACATCTGGGCACAGGTGCACGGCTATGTGCAAGCTTTCCGACAGCCCGGTGCACATGCGCATTTGCTCGCACGGAACCTGTACTATGCTTACCAGATGGATCTTCCTGACACAGGGTCCGATTTACCCTCCTGCTTCACGGTAGCTGGCTTTAATGGCGCTGCTGTTGAAGCCCAGGTCTAGAGATGCAGAGGCCTTTCTGAATTGGTGACTCCCAAGCTATTAGAAGGTAGGGAGTGGACCTCAGCAGAGGAGGAGAAGAGGGACTGAAGGCTGTGACACACTGCAGGCGTAGACATGCGAAGAAAAATTGCAACCTTCCACTTCACACCGCACCTTGTCTACACTCGTTTTTCATGGTTACCTCAATACTGGTATCAATATTGGTGCATCCCTAGGCAGTGCTGTTTTGGCAAAGTGGGATATACTTCATATATGGTGGGAGGTCAACATGCTATGGCTGGTGTAAATGCCATGATTTAATGTTTATTTAATAAATATTCTTTGTTGATAATTCAATTTTAAATAATTGAAATATTTCATAATTTCAATAATTAATTAAATATTATGTGTTAATTAATTACATAATTTAATTAATGATTAATAATGTATTCATATTTTTTTAATTAAATACTTAGTTATTTATTTAATTAATAATCAAATTAATTCATTAATAATACATTTTTAAATTATTAATAATAATAAAATAAATAAACATTATTAAGTATATCATATAATTCATTATAGCTAAATGTATTTACTTCATTAAAAAGAGCCATAGATGAGAGCTGGATAGAATAGAACTAGGCTGGAAGAGAAACTACCACACAAACGTTTCTGCTGGACTCACCAGGCGCTTTAGTCTGAATCTGATTGGCTGGGCGCTTGCCGACGCTTCGTGATGCCTACATTGAATCGCGTGTTCGGATTGGCTAGAGATGAACTTTTTCATCTCTCGAACGCTACGCAAGCTGCCGCCGAGCTGAGCAGGGAATCGGAGCCGCGAGTCGCCGCTTGCCTGTGCTTCACGCTGCTTCGCCTGCTGTGTGTCATGGCCTTTAATGAATTTTTCTCCCTCAGCCCCAAGGAAAATCTAAATCTGCATGGATAGGTGTAGGAACTCACTGGATTTCTGGCAGATCAACAGATATTTTGCTGAACTTGCAGCATTTTTAAGACAAACCTCTTGTTTTAGACCCCAATCAGTCATCCTCTTCTTAGCAGAGTCTATGAGACCGGTTTCCTCTGTATTTGCCACTCGCGCACCTGGAATCCTGGGCAGCCATCTTTGATGGATTTGCACAGGTCTGCTACACATTTATCACTGAGGAGACAGATTTTGAATCTTAACAGGTAAAATATAAGAAGCGGTCGGGATCAGATGTTATTCTATCACAGTGCTACAGCACAGCAGCAGAGGGAGAGCTTATGACTCAAGCTGCAACCTTGCACATAATCGGCCCCATAGCTCCTGTTCAGCATTGCCTTCCTGTGAGACAGAATCAATAAATGTCTCATGGAGCTCTGGGAATCCTTTGTCATTTATTAAAGTAACCCTGTCAGCTAAGGATCAGTTGTATCATGCTTGCTAAAATATGAGGAAATATATATATGTATCAATATCGGACCTCTGAAAAGTACAAGCATGCATATGTACTCAGTACTTGGTTTGGGCCCCTTTTGCAGAACTTACTGCAATTACTTTTGCACGATATTCTAATTATTCGAGTTTCACCTGTATATATACACATATATCAATATATATATATATTTTATTTTTAAAACATCAAATTAAAATTGATCCAGAGCCATTTATAGCCTATTATATTATCTCTTTAATGGACACCTATCATGAGGATCTTGTAGTCTTCCTGTGTTCGTCATCCTCTCTTCCCTTTTCTGTTGTCAGTTGCTTAGCTGTCTTTTGCTTCCAAAGTGTCTCTTCCGTAGACAGCAGCGAGGCAACAAGGTGAGCACGACCAAGCACCAAGCACCCAGCAGTCTCAGAAAGGAGACATCAGCCATGGCTGCCTCCATTTTTCTCTCATGACAGGTTTCCCATGGAGTCCTGGCTGCCAGCACCAGAAATGGCCGCCATGCCCTCAGTATCATTTACGTCACACGTTTACCACACCAGGCCCATTTTTGTGATTGGGAGAAGCGGAGATAGGCGTGGTCGTAGGGGGTGTGGCCGGCCGTTGCGTGGGCGGTGTCTGCTCGGGAGCTTGCATCTGATAGCTTGCGAGCGCGCTCCCGGTGAGAGGATTCAGTGATCGCCGGGGATCGGTTAGGAGCAGCTGTGGTCATCTCCGAGCACCGGTATGTACCTGGTCCCCGCCCACACCTACCTTTTTCCTCTCACCGCACAGGTCATCGCTCCTTCCCACATCCGCACACCGGTGTCATTGCACTGTCTGAGATAGGCGGGGGCATCAGCAGGCCCTTCACCTTCCACTGTACCCAGCACAGGGCTGGGCTCCCTCTCCTATCACCAGCCTGGGGTGACATGTGTGCACAGCCATGGTCAACACTCATATGTACTTACTGATCATGTTTACATCAACATGTATCAATCCCTAGCATGACCTGTTATTATTATCGTGTATTTGTATGTTGTCATGCATGGAAGAAGAGCACAGCCATGTATGTATGATGGATACCTCTATCCCTAGCATGACCTGTCATTATTCACATGTATCAATATTCATATATTGTCATCATGTATGGAAGGAGAGCACAGGTGTGTGTGTGTATGATGGATACCTCCATGTATCACTCCCTAGCATCACCTGTCATTATTCATATATTGTCATCATGTATGGAAGAAGTGCAGAGCCATGTCTGTGTTCGTTTGTATGATGGGTAATTCTATGTATCAGTTCCTAGCATGACCTGTCATTATTCACATGTATCAATATTCATCATCTGTCCCTATTTTGACATGTTCACCTCCTTAACATGCCTGTACCTGTCATGTCATAGATAGATGTATGCTACAGAGTCCATTTCCAAAGGATTCATTTTATGCTTACACGTACAATGTTTCCTGCAAATTCACCTGTCCTCTCTATTTTGTTTTTCAATGATGATTCACCCCGTGTGTAATGTGGCAGATGGCTGAATCTTGTTTCTCTTTTTAAACGTGATGGGTTAATTTTGTTTGTCATTGGAGTCTATCTCTCTTACTTTGTATGTAGCTGCAGATGGGTGAATCCTCTGTGATAATGATAAACGAACGCTGTCATTTAAAAGTCACTAAGTTTCTGGGAAATCAGCCATCAGGCGGCTGGCAAAAAATGTAAAATTCCAACAACAAACAGGATTCACCCGTCATGTTTAAAGTGAAACAAGATTCATCTCTCTGCCGCATTACACATGGGGGGGGGGTCTTTCTTTTAAGGAAAATTTGCATTAGCTTATTCCAGTCTAGCGAAACTGCCTTCATTTTCTAAATTAACCAGCTGTTGTGAGAATGGGGCAAAATCGAATGTTCTTCGTGTGATTTCTCTTGGTGGAATGTTGATCCCTAGTAGCAATGGTTATATTTATCTGCCAGTTCCCTCCAGTGTTCTCTAGAATAGTTACATTGTATCTCCTGTCACTGAGGTGTATTCCTTCCCTTTGATCCTCTAGAATAGTTACATTGTATCTCCTGTCACTGAGATGTATTCCTTCCCTTTGATCCTCTAGAATAGTTACATTGTGTCTCCTGTCACTGAGATGTATACATTTCCTCTGATCCTCTAGAATAGTTACATTGTATCTCCTGTCACTGAGATGTATACATTTCCTCTGATCCTCTAGAATAGTTACATTGTATCTCCTGTCACTGAGATGTATACATTTCCTCTGATCCTCTAGAATAGTTACATTGTATCTCCTGTCACTGAGATGTATTCCTTCCCTCTGATCCTCTAGAATAGTTACATTGTATCTCATGTCACTGAGATGTCTTCATTTCCTCTGATCTCAGCTCCACCTATATTGTGATGTATTCCCCAATTCACTGATGCCCATAATATTTAAAGAAGGGTGGGTGGGAGTAGCCCCACTGCAAGTGGTAATACAATCTGCCCAGAGTTCTTCTTTAAGGAACACTCAACTAGAAGATAAATCGCACTACATTAGCGCATTCAATTTTGCCTCATTCTCACAATAGCTGGGTAATTCACTCAGATTGAATGTACATACAGTTTTGCTGGACAAATAGCTTTGCAAATGTTCATAAACAGACCCCAGAGAGACCTCTGAAAAGAAATGCCATAAAATAGACACTGGTGAATGTCCAGCCAATATTCACTGTGAAAATCGCACAGCATCCCTTATAAATAGACCCCTTAGCTTGTGTGTGTTTCAGTCATGCCATGATTTGTGTGTGTGTGTGGTGTGCTCATCCCTGTTCAATAACATGTCATTTAATAAAGAGTGCTCGACCATGTATTCACATATTGTTATCTTGCAATATGTGGAATCTCTGTCTGTTATCTCAAAGAGATTATTTAGCCCTCTCTGGGTTCTTATCCTGGACTGCAAGTCAATTAGTTCCTATGCTATGGATAAGAAGACAATGGGCAGGGCTGACACCAGTCGGTCCACAAGAATGTTGTGTGTTGTCAGTCCACAATGTGAAAGTAGGAGCTGCTGGCATTTCTGGATGATCAGCAGATATTTTTCTGTACTTGCAGAGTCTTTAGAGGGCTAACACATGGGAAATGTGCATGAAGTGCAGAGGTATATTGCATGTGATGTTTTTTGGTTTTTTTTGGCCTTCACATGTGCTTTAATAGGCCATCATCATGGCTCTTTATTATGATATATGGAACATCTAAGTCTAGGCAAGTCCATATACAATTATGTTGTAATATGGAAGTCACATAGCCCTGTGTACAGCTCTGATGCCCATCCTACGGCCCACAGGTGGCACTTTGGTGTTTGAAATCTGGCCCTCAAGCTCCAGCAGTCAATATTTGGAACATTGACTTGTCAAAGCACTGATCTCTAGCAGTCTCTTGTAATATAGGTCCCTATTCTTTGATTGTCCCCTACAGCATGATGTAAGTCTCCAGTCACTCCTGTAGAATATTCTCTAACCTAACTAATGTCCTCTAGTAAGTCTTCAGTCTATGGCAGTTTGTAGCATTACATATAATAATATTAATAATAATAATAGTATTTGTATTATTAGTATTATTATTTTTTCATTAGCAGTAGTATATTTTATTATTGATGTTGTTTTTATTATATTATTATTATAAAAATAACATTTGTAGTATTTG